TATCATATATTTGTGCAGTTGATCACTTCATTCTCGTAGTTTCTTGCAAATTTGGCTAATTAGGTCAGGATCACTACCAACCAATTCAGGATGATTATGAACTCTAGTGATAGGCCCAAGTGCATAATATCCTTACCTTATTGGATGAAAGATTATTATAAGTAGTTGGGCTATCAGTTGGACCACTCTTAAAAAATTTGGTTGATGGTATATACACACCTTTTTATTATAACTATACCTCCTTTTTTATTTTTTAAAATATTTTTAACTTTTTATCTTATATTTTTTTTACTTTTACTCTTTTATTATTTAATTTATAACTTTCTTCTTATTTTTTTACATTCATAATATTTTAAGAATTTATTTTTATTGAAAAAAGAAGAGGAGGTGTACTTACTAAATTAAAAATTAGATACCTAAAAATAAAAAATAAAAAATAAAAAATTAAATATATTTTAAAATTCTTTTTTTTTTTAAATATACTTATTGTAGAATAAAGGTGTATATATCATAAGCCTTTTTATTTTCCTTTCAATTCCCTAAATGGACCTCTAGTTAAAATGGCCCAATTTAGATTCATATACTTAAATGTATTCTTCGAGCATGTTTGAGTAACGAATTGAAGTTCTTATTTTTCCAATTTCATATTTTAGTAGCAGTAAATCTAAACTCTCTAGTACTTTCCTAACAGTTTGGTGGTTTCATTTTCGCTATTTTGCCTCCTAAACCATCAAAGGAGGTGGATGATGCCATTCACAATCTTAATTAGTGGTTTGGTGTCATGCAAACCAGTTTTGACAACGACAACAAATACAAGATAGTCTGCATTCTGCCTTGCAACAAATCTTAGAGTTCGTGATGGCCAAATTGACGTCCATGGAGAAGGTCTTTGACCCTTTAGATCAAAGGAGGTGGATGATGCCATTCACAATCTTAATTAGTGGTTTGGTGTCATGCAAACCAGTTTTGACAACGACAACAAATACAAGATAGTCTGCATTCTGCCTTGCAACAAATCTTAGAGTTCGTGATGGCCAAATTGACGTCCATGGAGAAGGTCTTTGACCCTTTAGATTAGTCGTTCCAGGTGAAACAATTTTTCTTACTCTTTCAATTTCTTCAAGAACAACGCCTTCATTTTGCTGCATTTTACATAAGAGATGAAGCTCTCAGTTGGTACAAGTAGATGCACCAAAATCATCAATTGCATGATTGGCCATCATTTGCTTGAGCCTTGGAATTACATTTTGGCCTTCCCTCTTTTGAGAACCATCAACAAGAACTCTACAAAACCCCCAATCCTCATTCCCTCACCAATACTACCAACACAAACACTTCCGATACCTTTAACCAAAACCATTTACCCATCAAATGTCCCACAACAACTCAAATATAAGAGCGTCAAGCTCAAGGTCTTTGTTATAATTGACAAATTCGTGCCTGCTTGCAAGTGTTCCACCAACAAATTTTTGTTGTTGATTGATGATGAATAGATCCATTCTGATGCTATTCCTTCTAAGGATCCACCTAATACATAAGAACCTAACCTTTCACATTTCCATTTATCCTTTCGAGCACTTATGTTAAATAGTCAAAATACTTCATAAGAACATAATATTTAATAGTTTTTTGCCTTGATTTAATATTAAATCTTTGACAATACTTCACTTCTTTTATTAAGTGTGAAGTAAATAGAAAAATTACAAAAAGAATGAAATATACATGATTAAAAGACAAAATGGAACAAAATTGAAGTTTGAAGACATGCATGGTTGTGCTTGATTGATGCATGGTTGTGCTTCAAATGAAGCATGCCCAGATGCACAACTATGCTAAGTACACTTATGCTTACCAATATGCATGATCATGCTTATCAATATGCACAACTGTGCTTCATTCAAAACGCCAATGAAGCACACCTTCCACCCTTGAAGCACGTTCATGTCTCCTCCACATATTGTGAAGCATAGTCGTGCTTACTAATATGCATGATCATGTTTAGCTAACTAAACACACCCTATTCGTTGAAAGCATGCCCGTGCTCCCTCTATTTTGCACTGAAGAATGCCATAAGCATGACCATGCTTTCCATGTGCATGGTTGTGCTTAGAAATTTTTCTGTGATGTTTTGATTATAAATAGGGATGTCTAGTCACATTGTCTTTTATCTTGTTTTCTTTATTCTTAGCTCTAGTTTTGTTTTCTCTCTT